GCCCCACTCCCACCTGCAACAGCAGCCAGATAACCACATGGGCGGCTACTTTGTTCCTTAAGACCCTAGGAACAGGCTTCATGATGGCTTATGCCAGGGGGAGGGAGGCCCTAGCTACTCGTTCTCCTCCCTCATGATAGCTACCATTTGGTCAAATGTGTAAAACGGGGGCTGGAGGGAGGGCTCAGCAGTCGAGAGCACTTATTCCCCTTGCAGAGGACCTGGGTTCAGTTTCCAACACCCATGTGGTGGACAACTGCGGTTCCAGGAGATTTTTCTTCTGAACTACCTGGGCACCAGGTACATACCCATGTGGACAAAACACTCATACACACACTAAATACGTACATACATTTTCAAAAATCTGTAAAATGGTTGTCATGACAATACCAAAAACCATCGTCTTAAAAAGCTTTCATTCAATCAGCAGAGAACATTCTAGAAGCCTAATCCAGAAGCTCCAGTTAGTGGCCTTGTTTCCCAAGCAGAGACGTACAGAGATTTATAGACGTCCAAACACACTTGACATAATTGTCATAGTACCGATGACGGCATGACCCTCGTGCCTGTCCAGGTCATGCCTGATCAGTTCGTCCAATCCCATAGGTATGTGCTTCCTGTTCTGAGAACCCGGAACAACAAGCAGGCACAGTCCCCGTGGGGACCCCTGGGCCTGTCTGGGAGACTCGAGTAGATGAGAATATAGCGATCAATGAGGAAGGATTGTGGTTTTGGAGATTCGGACTAAGTTTGGAATTCACAGAGCGGTTAGTTGTCCAGGAGTTCAGAGTGCCCAGCCACACCTTAGTCCTCGTCTTACCCAATGGGTCATGTCCTGTTTCTTCATTGTCTCAATACCCAAGAAGCAGCTCACCCGTGGTGGCGCGTGACAACAGTCAGAAAGTGCTGGAATGTAGCCAGAGTTGTTTAGGCGGTGCCTGCCACGGCTTGCTCGTGGATTCATCCCACAGCACCGCAAGGCATGGTGGGTAGGACCCAGAGCGCACGTGGTAGAGGGTCCCCCTTCCGGGCACCTGGGATGAGAAAGGAGGGGGCAGCTCCCTCAGGAACAGTGTGGGAGTGAGCTGAGCCAAGTTTAAAGGTCAGAAGGGCATCATCAATGAGAGAGGGCAGTGTGGGACAATGTGACAGGACCAGGAAACCATGGTTAAGATCAGCCAGGCGTGTACCAGCTTTGAATGGAAGATTGCCTGTGGAAGAACAGCGGTGAGCAAACCATGGGGCTGAGAGAGAAAAACACAAAGGCCAGTCCTTTGGGAAACAGTTGCCAGGACCACACACCAGACACGGAAAGTTTCAGTTCCTTCCTGGGCTCTGCCTGTGCACACTGGTGTTAGTGTTGGCATTTCCTTTAAGGATAACATCTCACGGGATAACTCATTTTTGTTGTTGTTGTTGTTTGTTTGTTTGTTTTTTCAGTTTAGGGTTTTTCTGTAGCTTTTGGAGCCTGTCCTGGAACTCACTCTGTAGACCAGGCTGGCCTTGAACTCACAGAGATCCACCTGCCTCTGCTTCCCAAGTGCTGGGATTAAAGGTGTGCGCCACCACTGTCTGGTTTAAGGTAACTCAGTTTAACACCGAACCAGACTTAATCTCACTACATAGCCCAGGCAGGTTGGGACTATCAATCCTCCCACCTCAGTGATTCGACTACAGATACTCTGGGCAAAAAAGAAGTTTTGAGTAAATTTATCAGAATTTCTCAAAAAGTTTTCTTGTACACAAGAAATATAGGTAACAGTACTGACAAAAGGCCCCCACCTGTAATCCCAGCGTGGGGGAGGCAGAGGCAAGGGCATCAGGGGTTAAGGGTCATTCTTGTCTGCACAGCAAATCTGAGGCCTAGGACAAACATACACACAAATTACACATACACACAGATTATACATACACACAGATTACACACACACATAAACACATACACACAGATTATACATACACACAGATTACATATACATGCATAAACACATACACACAGATTACACATATACACATAAACACATACACACAGATTACACATACACACAGCACACAGATTACACATACACGTAGATTACATATACACAGATTACACATATACACATAAACACATACACACATAAATACATATACACAGATTACACATACACATATATTACACATACATACACAGAGATTACACATACATACAGATTATAGTACCTGACTAGAAAATCAAGGACGGGGGCTGGAGAGGTGGCTCAGGGCTTACCAGCACCAGCTGCTCTTCCAGAGGACCCAGGTGTGATTCCCAGCATCCACGTGGCAGCTCTCTGTAACCTCAGACCTGGAGGTGAGGAGGGTGAGGAGGTGGGGGTGGGTGGGAGAGGGTGGACAGGTGGAGGGTGGGGAGATGGAGGTGGGGAGGTGGGGGAGATGGGTCTGTTGCCTGTCTCTGCGCTCCTCTAACTTCCACAGGCCCCAGGCATGCACATAGTGCACAGAGAACATACATGCAGTCAAAACACCCACACACATAAAATAAAAACAAGTAAACCTTAAGAAAAAGAAGACCAAGGAGGAGGAAGATTAGGGTGGCAAACTGGTTCCCTTTGTAGTCGGACTTTATTGGTCTTTTCTTCCTTTTCCTTTCTCCTGAGCAGGGTCTTAAGTTTTCCAGGGTGTTCTCAGATGATGAGGTGCCTCAGAGGTGTGGGGAGAGCAGGCCATCACAGTTGGCTTTAGGACTTGGTGTTTGCATATCTAATTAGACTAACAGTCCCCACCGTACCGGGCTACATGGACAGTGGGACATAATGTGGACAGAACCTCACAACCGCCCAGGCAGAGTAAATGCTACAGACGTGTCTGTCACTAAAATCATTGTTTCGGTGCTGGGGGTCAAACCCAGGGCTTTGATGGGCACCCCCTAAACTCCACCACTCCGCTTGACCACTGAGACAACCCGAGGGTATGCTGCTTTTATCACTAAGATTTATTTTATTTTATAGATGAGTGTTTGCCTGTATGTATGCAAGCTCACCGCATGTGTGCCTGGTGTCCATGCCCAAGGCCAGAAGAGGATGTGTGGGAGCTCCTGTGACCGGAGTTGCCCACAGTTGTGACCACCATGTGGGGCTGACCCTGGGTCCTCGGTAAGAGTAGCCAGTGCTCTTAACTGTTGGGCCATCTCTGAAACTCATTACTAAATCAGTGCGCTCTGGATTTTTTTTAATGATCCTTCTTGCCAGGTGGTGGTAGCGCACGCCTTTAATCCCAGTACTCGGGAGGCAGAGGCAGGTGGATCTCTGTGAGTTCGAGACCAGCCTGGTCTACAAGAGCTAGTTCCAGGACAGGCTCCAAAACCACAGAGAAACCCTGTCTCGAAAAACCAAAAAAATAAAATAAAATAAAAAAAATTATCTTTCTCAACCAGGCACTGGTGATGCACGCCTTTAATTCCAGCACTCAGGAGGCAGAGGCAGGCAAATCTCTGAGTTCAAGACCAACCTGATCTGTAGAATGAGTTCCAGGACAGTCAGGACTATGCACAAAGAAATAAAGAAATCCTGTCTCGGGCTGGAGAGATGGCTCAGAGGTTAAGAGCATTGCCTGCTCTTCCAAAGGTCCTGAGTTCAATTCCCAGCAACCACATGGTGGCTCACAACCATCTGAAATGAGATCTGATGCCCTCTTCTGGCTGCAGGCAGACACACAGACAGAATATTGTATACATAATACATAAATAAATATTTAAAAAAAAAGAAATCCTGTCTCGAAAAACAAAAAAAGTCTTTCTTTATTCTTGAAAATTTCATACATATATACAATAAAATAGGATCATATTCTCCTCCCATATCCTCCCTCCAGGTCCTTCCATGTGCCTGCAACATGCTCCCCTCCCACCCAACTAATTTCTTCTTCACATTGATTTTCCTTTTCTTTCTTTTTGTTTTGTTTTTCGAGACAGAATTTCTCTGTGTAACAGCCCCGGCTGTCCTGAAACTCTCCCTGTAAACCAGGCTGGCCTCGAACTCACAGAGATCCGCCTGCCTCTGCCTCCGGAGTGCTGGGATTAAAGACGTGCGCCACCACTGCCCAGCTGATTTATTTTCTTTTTAATTAGGTGTCTAATGTGTGTTTGTGTGCACATGTGGGGCTGTGCACGTGTGAGTACATGTGCCCACAGAATCCCAAACGGGGTGCTGGATTCCTTAAGGGTACAGGAGATTGTGAGCTGCCTGATGTGGGTGTAGGTGATTAAACCCACGCCCTCTGCAAGAACAGTACGTACTTTGGGGGGGGGGTAGAGGGTGAGACAGGATTTCTCTGTGTAGCCCTGACTGTCTTGGAACTCACTCTGTAGAACAGGCTGGTCTCAAACTCAGAGATCTGCCTGCCTCTACCTCCCAAGTGCTGGGACTAAAGGCGTAGGCCACCACACCTGCCTTTTCTTTTATTTATATATAACCCTGCACATTATACCTCTATAAGCGATGGGATCTGGAAAGCACACACACACCATGCCAGAAATTTGGATGGCACACCATACTTCCTGACTGCTGGCCACGACACGCCAGGAGACAGCGCTTCCCTGTACTGCTTGTCCTCCTCCTGCTACACACTTCCTGAGCCCTGCACGGAGAGGCGGCTGGCTGAATAAAGACGACCCACGAAGAGCCGCACACTCACTCAGTCTCCTGTTCTCAGCACGTTGGACAACTGCCCTGTGCAGAAACAAGGTTCTCCAGCGAAGACTGAGATCAACCCAAGTGTGTGTCAACACACAGCTCCAAAGGGCAGTTTGTCAGCGCGGCCACTGAGCACAACAGGGGCAGGCCCCACGCCCGGACCTGTGGCCACCAGGATTCTGTTGTTTACCTACAACTGCACCTGTAGGCAGGGCTGTCCGGTGTGCTGGACTGTAGCATGCAGGGCGTGCAGCACTGGGCCCACTGATGCTTCTGTCCTAGAAGCCTGCACAACACCTTCTGAAATCTAGTCAGCAAAGAGAGGATTTTGCGCTAGCTTCAGCAGCACATATACTGCCGAATATCGGAACAATGCAGAGATTAGCATGGCCCCGTGTATGAATGACACACAAACTCATGAAGCGTTCCATATTTTTGAAGAATCTATCTATCTATAATATATCTATATTATAGATATATATATAATATAGGTATATGTCTATAATATTATATATCGTGAAGCATTCCATGTTTTTTAAAAGATTTATTTATTTATTATGTATACAACATTCTTTCCATGCCTGCCTGCGGGCCAGAAGAGGGCACCAGATCTCATTACAGATGGTTGTGAGACACCATGCGGTTGCTAGGAACTGAACTCAGGACCTCTGGAAGAGCAGTCAGTCAGTGCTCTTAACCTCTGAGCCATCTCTCCAGTCCAGCATTTCATATTTTTGAAGAATATATCTATATCTATCTATCAGAAGACATTCTGTTTTGAGCACAAAGTCTGATCAGTGAGCTTTTGCTGTCTGTTTGGGCCTTATGGTATGAGACAGCCTCGGCTAGGCTGGCTATATTATGTATTCGGATCCTCCTGACTCTGACGCCAAGTGCTGGAATTACAAACGCTCAGTACCACGCCCTGCTCAGTCAGCACTCTTTGTCTTCTATGTGCCCCTTCCCAAGAGGGGCTTTGAGTGAACATCTGCTTCTTGCACAATTTTCTTAGCTCGCTCTCTAAAGGCAGGGCCTCACTGTAACCCAGGCTGGCCTGGGACTCACTCTGTAGCCTAGCCTGGCCTTGGAGCAATCCTCCCAAATATTGGGATAGCAGGCATGAACACTAGGCCCAGGCCTTTTCTGTTTTCTTTTTGGTTTTTTTGAGACAGGGTTTCTTTGTGTAACAGCCCTGGCTGTCCTGGAACTCACTTTGTAAACCTGGCTGACCTTAAACTTACAGAGACCCACCTGTTTCTGCCTCCTGGGATTAAAGACACCAGGGCCTGGTTTAGTCCCAGCCCTTATATAATTTTACACACACACACACACACACACACACACACACACACACACACAAAGACAGAAAGAAACAAAAAAAAAAAGGAAAAAACCCCACTTTTTTATGCTCCAGAGAGGACCCACAAAATAGCTGAGGCGTCAGAAAGTGCCCCAGGCCACCGACCCAGGGAGGTGACAGCTGCGAGCTCTTTGGTGCACAGCCATCTCTTAATGGGAAGGACTATTTGTGTCCTTCAGCTCCCCGCAGTTACAAATGTCAACAGCAATGGGCCTTCCCTCTAGCCGCTCCGCAGGGCTGGAAAGCCTGCCCACCCGTCCTGCAGTTGGTGTCCTCAGAGGTGAGGGGCTTTGGGCAGCCAGGGTCAGCGCTGAAAACCCCGCCCCGAAGAGGCAGACTGCCTTTGATCCCCCGCCCGCCCGCCCCTGCGGTCCCCAGCACCGGCAAAGGGGCTTTCCCCCTCCGAGAAACCAGCTCTATAAATACACCTCTGGGTTAGGACTGTGTGTCCACAGCTGTCCTTAGAGAAGCCACACCTCCAGACAGGGGCGCTGGCTCAGGGTCTTCACCGACCCAGGATCTGAGCCCCCTTAAGGAGGGGCCCCAGGGAGGCCTCTGTCATGTTTAGTGACACCTTTGTGTGCACAGGTTTGTCCTTGTTTTTGGTGGGGTTCTTTATGCTGGTTTCTTTTTTGGTTTTTCTTTTTTGTTTTTGGGTATTGTTTTGTTTCAGTTTTGGTTTTTTGAGACAGGGTTTCTCTGTGTCGCCCTGACTGTCCTGGAACTCACTGTAGACCAGGCTGGCCTCAAACTCACAGAGATCCACCTGCTTTTACATCTAAAGTGCTGGAATTAAAGGCGTGTGCCAGCTAACAAAAACAAGTCTTTAAAAAATAAAGTAAAACAAAGGTGTGTGCCACAATAGGCAGCTATTTTTAAGTTATGTTTATATGCGTGTGGGGGAGGGTATTTGCACATGAGTGCCGTGCCTGCAGAAGGAGTGGTCAGATCCCATGGAGCTGGATTACAGGGCCCAAGACTTGAGAGCTAGAAACAAAACTTCGGCTTTCTCCAAGAGCAATGTGTGTTGTTAACCATGAGCCAGTCTCCAGCTCCCTGACCGATTCAAATGGAATTATTCCTTTCTTTCCTCTTCCCTGCTTTACTCCCCGCTCCTGCTCCCTTCCCCCTTTTAAAGCCAAGCTTTCTTCCATCTTCTTTTGATAAATATTTTTTTTAAGTTTTTCGAGACAGGGTTTCTCTGTAATGATAAATATTTTTTGTGTGTAAGTGTTTTGCCTGTACATATGTATCATGCACAGACCTGGAGCCCAGGGGGGTCAGAAGAGGGCACTGGAGCTCTTGGAACTGGAGAACAGTTGGAAGTCACCATGAGGGTGCTGGGAATGGAACCACGGTCCTTGCAAGCACTCCTGGGCCTCCACCTCTGGGGTGGCCCTGAGTTCACAATCCTCCGGCAGGCCTCAGCCTCTTTAATGCTAGGATCACACGTATTACCACCAACCTCATATTTCCTGTAACCCTACAAGCCATGGACACAGAACATGAAAAACAAAGGGTTTAAGCCGTGCTTGTCCTGAAAGAATGTAGGGATTTCCTGAGAAAACAAAATATGCATGTTAAATTTCAAATAAGGCTAAAATTCTGGCTTATCCCAATACTGTAATCCCAGACTCAGGAGGCTGAAGCCAGAGGCATTCATGGTGAGTTTCCATCAGCCTGCCCTGTGTTCGCAGGGGCCTGTCTCAACAACAAACAATAGTATTCTGCTTTTTCCAGGGCTGGCATGGATGCCGGGCTATCGGCATGTGAAGCTCAGCCCAGGACTGTTTTATGTGCACAGCCATCACCTTTGAGACGGCTCCTGCTCCCACAGAGCCCCATGTTAAGTCCGAAGAGGGCAATGCTCACGGGCAGGGCCTATTCTAACTTGACTCAGCACGTTGAGGGTGGAGACTAACTCCTGTGCCCTCAGCAAAAGCTATCCAAGAAATATTAGGCAGGACATCAAGGGCTTTGTGGTTCTGTGGACTCACAGGACAATGCTGCCAGTGCTTCTACAGTGTTTGACATGTTGGTTGTGAGCCTTCAATGGCTGAGCCATCTCTTTGACCTTATGTGGGTGTTGTTTATTGTTGTTGAGATTGGGATGGTCTCACTCTGTAGCCCGGTCTGCCCTAGAACTTGATGGCTTTCCCAGGCTGGTCTTGCACTTGCAGTGGTCCTCCTGCCTCAGCCACCCAAGTGTTGAGATTAGAAATATACACAACCATGCACTATGTGTTTTCGTCTTTCAAAAAATTTACAAGGTTGGGGCTGGAGAGATGGCTCAGTGGTTAAGAGCATTGCCTGCTCTTCCCAAGGTCCTGAGTTCAATTCCCGGCAACCACATGGTGGCTCACAACCATCTGTAATGAGGTCTGATGCCCTCTTCTGGCCTGCAGACATACACACAGATAGGATATTGTATACATAATAAATAAATATTTAAAAAAATTTACAAGGTTGGACAGGTATGGTGGTGCACGACTTTAATCCAGACACAAGGCAGGTGGATCTGTGTGAGTTGGGGGTCAGCCTGGTCTACACAGCGAGGTCCAGGCCGGCCAGGACTTCATAATAGGACCCTGCCTCGAAAATAAACAGCCAAATAAATATTTACAAAAAGACAAACAATATAAATAGAACAAAAAGCACAGAAAGTAAAAGCCTTTTTCATTCCTTCTTCACTCGGCACCCTTTCTGCGTCATTCTTCCACATGGACAGACATTTCCTGCCTCCCATTCTACAGACGACACTGCGGCATCGAAGCTGAAGTGCTCGTGAAAGACCACAGAGCTGGCAAGCGCTCAAGCTGAAATTCAAATCCAAATTTGTCTGACTCATAATTCAACGTGCATTCCTTCCGCTAAGCTCCGGGGTGTAAAATTTTATGGATGAAGAAACCGAGGCTCACAGACGTCCTCGGCCATCAGAGCCACACGGTTCACTGCCCAGCATGGGAAAAGTGGAAGGGATGGCATGGGCTGCATGGAGGAGAGGGCCTCGGCTTGGGTGGATCTGAGCTTGCGCAGGGCTACTGGGTCCAGTTTGTGAATCCCCCAGCGGTCCGCGACTTGCCCGTGTTCTTCGGGTACAAGGTCCACCAGAAGCTGCTGTGCCAGGGTCGGTGGGGACCCAAGCCCCGGGGTGGGCGCGGCAGCGGTGCCCGCTGCGTGGCTGCACAGCTCGTAGCCGTCGGGTGCGCCCGGGGTGGGTGATTGCGGCCGGCGCGTGGCGGGCGGGGCGCGGGCGGCGCGGGGCGGAGCCTGCCGCGGGCGACGCTGTCCCCAGGCTCCCAGCCGCGGTGGCCGCCGTGGAGGGCAGCTGGAGAGAGCGGGCGCAGAGAAGGTAGAGGCTCCCCGACCCCCGCCCGGGCTCTCCTGGTCACAGAACAGCGGACCCTGGGGCGAATTCCTGGGGAGGGGGTCTGGTCCCATCATCCGGGCGAGGACTTGAGCCAAGATTCCTATTAAGTCACACAGTGAAATTGGAAAACATACGGGACCTCCCTGCAAGCCGGCGCCGCCCGCTTCCTCCCCGAGGGGCTTCGAGAGGATGCGACCCGACGCCTGCACTCCGGGAACGCAGGGCTAGGGTGTCCGGGAGGGATGCGGGTGAGTGCCCTTCGCACAGCTCAGCCTGTTGGGAGAGGCTGAGGAAAAAGAAAGACACCTGTTGGGATGGAATTCTGACGGGACAGCAACTCTTCTCTGCCAGTCCAGTACTTACTGGCGCTTCTTTCCCCCAGCAATGGCTCACTTGCCCAAGGTGAGCCCGAGGGTGAGAAGGGGTTAGCTCCGTGCAGGTCACTTTCCTTGACGTCAATTGCCCAATGTGGGGCGTGACCAGGAGCAGCCCAGGTTGGTCCTTACCAGGGTCCACCTTGACTTCAAGGTACCCGCGTCCAACTTCTGCCTTCCTCACCCTGGGCGTGAAAAAGGGACAACAAGCATACATTTGTGCCGGGAGGGGGGAGTCTGCTTCTGCTCCCCTATGCAGGGGAGGGTGGGGTGGACTTTTCCAGAGAGGGAGCCAGGCCTGGCCCTGGCCCCAGGAGTTCTCGTCACCCCCCA